AACATTTAATCTTATACATTCGTTACTTTCTTTGATACCTATGTTATTTAAAATGTCATAACTAACAGGTTTTTATCTTATGCTAAATACCCGTATCTGCCTGAAGATAGATTTTGTATTGTTATGGTATAGGTAAACCTTAAAACCCGTTTTTGATAAAAAAAAAAAAAAAATAATAATAAATAAGAACTGGTATATCATCATATACTTTTTAGTTTTTATTTACGTCTCAAGCTCCTAATTTAAGTGTTTACACTCCACAGACATGATATTTTTTTAATGCATAGTTTTTAATTTAAAAATGAACTGTCAACTTTTCAATATAACCTTATGTATTTAAAATTAAAATATTCTAAAAATAACATATTCTACAAAAAATATTCAAATTATACGAAATTGTTGCGTCGTACATGAAATTATATTTTACGAAATAATAATTACGAGGGTTTTTATAATTTTCTGTAGGTTATAATGTACCTATTCCTATTAATTATTTCTAAATACTACAAAATGTTTTAAGACACAATAACCAACCATCATAGGTTTTTCAATAATTATTATACAAGTAGGTATGTATTTATATTTATTTATTTATTTATTTGATTAGGGCTCTATATGCGATGTTCATTAGCATACTGGGTATGTATAAATTAATCTTATTATATTTTGTAATTTTTACCATTTAGGTACAGCTTGAAAAATAATATTATGTGTGCCATATGTGCCTACCCGTTTGTGCCTACGGGATGGACGACGGTATGATACAGTGAAACTTCCGCAATGTAACAAACTTGCTATTTAACAAAATTTTCCGTTTAACAATATATTTTTGAAAATCAAATTTATTCAATTCTATTTAACGAAATTCTCTATTATACGAGTTTTTGTTATGCCCCATGAGACATCGTAATATTCAGTGTGTGTCAAGCAGTGTGTTACTACACCGTAACGTGCCATGATCGTGTGCCTTTGTGTCCTGCAGTTTGTCAGGTTTATACCACCGTGGATTATAATCTACCTTGGTTTATACCAAAATGCAATATCAATGATATGAATATTATACTTGTGGCGATTCTTGGCCAGTATCACCACTTTTCTCCCACCTGCACTTTTCCGCGGACCTAGTCATTTTATATTCTTGATTTATTTTATTTTATAGGACTTCTGTGATTTTTATATATATGTTCCTTTGCCTTTTCGATCTCGCGTCTCTCATTGGCGACGCCATGCCACTCGTTCCGCGACGGGTACGACGCTGCCGACCGACCTGACAGCGTTCTTTTTGCTCACATCCCTCCACCTAGCCACACGTTCCGAACCATATTCGATCGCGCCCGACTCCATGCTTTTCGTCGACCGACACTCCGACGAGCCGAACAGCGATACGACCTCGATGATCATCGCTCACCTCTGATCACCCCGTCAACCAAATTCATGTTCCGACGACGTCTTCGTCTCTCCGACGTAACCGAACGCTCCCTCGATCGCGCGTGCAACTAGCACCCCCGATTCCGTCGACCCGAAACCGACCGTGTGACCGATGTACCTACTTATTCGTACTGCGTACGATCATGTGCATTTTACTTTGTCGTTCAATAAATAACTGTCGAAGCAACGCGTTACAAATAAGCAGTGTGTCATTTGTTTACCTACCTAAAACCTGTGTACCTAAACCTTCTGCAACGGAGTCAACATTCAAGCGTATGCTGGACAGTGCGGGGTGTCCCCACTACAACACGACGTCCACAACGACCGGAATCCCGCACTTGTACCACATACCGGATGATAACATTTTATAATTTTTTTTAGTTATCATTCTTCTGCACATAAATTTAACCACACGGTCAAAGGTTGAGTATAATATATTCACTCTTCACTTCATTGTCTGGTTACTGCGTTATCGTGTGATAAAATAACGATAATATGCCACCTAGTTCAGTCAATCGGAGAAAATTATTCTAAACGACGATGTAGTGTGAACCTCGGCTTTATGGTAGATACGTTTTTTTATGTAGTCAGACGAGAGCCAAATAAATGGCCAGCGATATTATGATTATATTACAACAGCGAAACCTAAGGAAACACGTGCGTAGCGTTTCGATTTGAATACATTGCCGTGGAGAATCTCGTCAATGGTGTTATTTTCGGATGCATATTGTGCGTAGTGTAATAAAGGTTTATTATATTAAGGTCTTAATTAAACACGGGATGAACGTGTGACGACTGCCGACGTGGTATAGTTTTGTCGGATATGAAGTTTGAACTTTTCGACTTTTGACATATCGGATAGAAATCTGGTACGATTGTTGGTGGGGTACGAATTACACACCTTTTTTTGTAAGGGGGGTGGTACATGCTTCGTGGGAGGCTGAGATAAAATAGACACGTACAGGAGAAAACGAAAAAAAACGTTCTCGCTTCTCTCAACACGTCCCCGTCGTATCGAGGCGACCAACGGTGGTTTATTATTTTTTAATGATATCAGGTTCTAAAATATTATAGTCTAATCCCCCTCCTCGAAACCTTCCGATTTTTCGACCAACGACTGTATATTATTATATAGAAGCTTGTGCGGTTTAACACATAATAAGGCCCGTGTAATATATTATAGGCATGATAGGTACACCTACATAATATTATTATTATCATTGGGTAGATTATGCGTATGGTAGAAAAAAATAAAACGTAATAATAATATATATTACTATTATTATTATGATCGTTGGAGGAGATGCCACTACTGCATCGCGTATTATGCATTATACGATCACATGGCGGTCGCCGGCACTTTCACTATCACTTGGCCGCATTTATTCCGCGCTACGACCGCGTGTAATATCGTCCGCGTTGCCCAACACCCGATGGCGTTTAGGTACGTTTTTCTAGCATAATATAATATTTATATATTTATATATACTGCCTATACTCTCTTCCCGATTTGTGTGTGTGTGTGTGTGCGTAAACAGATGTACAAAATATTATGTCATTCTCGTTATCTATATAATACACGCGCTGCAGCAGTATTATAGGTACCTACGAGTGAAATATAAAGAAACATGTAATAAAAAATCATTTTTTTTTTCACCGACGCATAACAACTCGGTTCACCAGTCTGACCGGCTGCAGCAGAAATATTATACAGAACACTTTATTATTATTATATAGGGTAAGCGCGGTATACAGTCGTCTGCTCACTTTATATATATATATATATATTATATATAATACAAATAACCTATATAGATTATAGGTATATTATTGTATACATCCTTATAGAGTATTTACTTAGAGAGTGATCCATATCTTCAACACGACTACGCTAAAATTGTCCTCGTCATTTTAGTGTTTTAAAAATAATGTTATTTTGTAGAAATTATCATTATAATATATAATTTACCATTATGTATACATTTTGATGTAGGTACCATTAGGGTACCAACTTGTAAAATACCTATCGAATATTTTGAATATTTTTTTCATTAAAAAGTATTTTGAGTTTGTATAGTGACAAGGGGATACTTACACCATTTAAAAATATATTGACAAACCAAAATGATAAAAAAAATAGTGTTATTATAAAATATATTTATAGATACGCACAGGACATTTTTTTTTAAACACTTAAATTGACTAGGAAAATGAACGGGTCAGTTAAATGGATCACTCCGTATAATATACGTCTTTGTACACTTGCACAGATTGCTCAGTAATAGTATTATTAGTCGTTGTGTATGTTTTACGAGTGTGTTACATCAATTGCGCGTACGACGAGTGGCGGCAACGTACAATGTAAATCGACTGCGGCTGAGATCTGTTCATATCAGGAATTGTTCGGTAGGATTATGTGGGTCATGTAAATATCAAACGGTTAGGTGAACGTGTAACGATAATAATAATATTAACAATATAATATGTAAAAGCGCAAAAATAGGCATAGATACCGGCTGTTGCTGCAGTTTAAATCACATTTTTATCTTACATATTATTATTATTATCGATGTGATAACGCTATCTCACACGCGTGTACCTACATTACTGTGACCTATTGCGAATCGAACACAATATACGAAAATCGTACGAAAACCATAGGTACTGTTACTATGTATATATGTATACTATATGTATATGTGTGTGCGTATACCGTAGTATATCTACGCTTAACGAAACAAAATAAATAGTAGGTAATAACAATAATATTAAACAATATAATATTATAGGTCATTGACTACGTGCTGCGTGATATTGGTCATTAATCATATAATTATGTTTTATAATGCGGTGCCATCGACTAGTGTGTGTGTGTGTGTTAGGTGAGTGGCAGTGTCGTTCCGACGGTGTGTCTATATTGAGTCCCTATATTTTATACTATATATGTACCCACAGGAATAAAATATAATATTTCCAAACCCCATG